TACACCTTTTTATCTCAGATCAGAATTCTGGCAAGTTGAATTACTGGGGTGGTGGACAGGGTTTTAAACTAAACAGTGGAGGACACACATCAGGTTTGGGAGGATCCTACAAACTAGATAGAGAAGACAGGACAGCAGGATAGCAGTAAGGGAAATGATGATAAGAAAGGACAAGAATGTACAAATCTAAGAATGCAACACCAGACAGAGCTAGAAGTTATGGAAAATCTTCAGACAAAACTGATCATAATATGGTTGAATTTCACATTCAGTTTAAGACGGACAAATGGATCCAAGATTAGAATTTTAAACTTAAACAAGAGCAATTATGAGAGCATGAAACAGCTGGCAAAAGTAAACTGGGAACTAGATTCATAGATTGGCAGAGATATAATAGCAGACATTTAAGGAGATGTTTCAGAATATCCAGAAAATATACCCAGTAAGAAAAGTTGCAAAGGAAGGACGTGTGTGAAATAGCATGAAATACTGAATGTCAAAGAACTCCAACATGTTTAATACTAACCCTCTCTGTGGATGCCTTTTGCACATTCAGTGTCTTCACACCTTTGGGCAAATGGAACTCGTGGGTATCATAGTCAGTGCTAAACACAGTTTTCTGGGTCCGGGGATCAACGAACGACATTCCAATATCACTAGTGATGGAGGTTTTATCTTTCTCTACACTGAGCTTGGTGGTTCCCTGCTGAAACACCACCTAGAAAGAGCACAGGATCAAAAGTTGTGATTATAAGTTCATAAACTAATTAATACCACAAAAGAGAATTGCACAGGAACTCATTTAGGTATGTTTGTCTTTGCCATATTGTAAGCTTGTGAATAAGTAACCTAAGTAATAATTTGACTGGTTATCAGATGGGCAAGTCTCAGGGTGTTTCATTCACTAGATTTGCTTCGGTATGGTGAGAGAGGCAGTATGTGTAAGGCAGTCATTTCACCACAGGGCAGGAAAGAAAACATTCCAGATTACTTTCACGCACTTCACGGTGTTCTCAAAAACAATAGAAAAAGATAGAAAGGTAAGCGAATTAACTTGTCCTTTCTCCTTCAAAAGAGGAGGAATGGTATGGTGAGAAAAGAAGCATAAAAGGAAATTAGAATTTCCCAATTTCAGGAATATGCTGCACTTAAAAATTCTAATAAGTGTTCTGCATTATGACGTATCAGATTTTAAATTGTAGAGATTACACAAATTACAGATGACTTGGTACTTTTATAATATTTTTGTGGTTCAAGGTATTTGCATCCAACATCTTTGCCCGCATAGATTTACTCATTTTAATAATGGAAGAAAATTTTATATGGACTCCAGTTTAAAAACTTGATGCTGTTAAATTAGAAAGAACTGATATATTCATTCACTCATTCTGTGCTAAATTAATTGTAGAAATACAAGTTACTGTAATGGGACAATTGCCAGTTTTCCACTATTACTGATGTACTCTGCTCCGAGGCTCTTCCTGGTGCTTGAGGGCCAGGCAGCATCTGGCTCTACCCTTGTCCTACTCCCCTCTCAGTCTCAGGGTAGATTGGTGAGAGGTCCAACTAATACTAACTCTATGACAACAAGTCTGACATTTGAATCATTGATTTTCTCATCTGCCACTGAACCATTCCAATCACACAGGTGGTCTGATGCCTAGGATTTTTCTTTCTCAAGACCAATTTAAAAAGTTGGGAGTTTCTGTTGCTTGTTCCATGTGCATTAAGGGATTGGAAGGTGAATTAACAAACCAGTTGATTTGAAAAGCTTAAATGAAACTTAAGGGAGATTCAATTCTTATGTATGTGGGTCAAGTCAACGTAAGCAGGGATTTGGTGGGTAAATAGATTCTCTTGCCGATTCAATGAATGAACGTTCAAAAAAGACCATTTACAGATGCTGTAAAAGGATTTGGTTCTGAAGGAATTCATGTTGAAGTTGTATTAGCTCTACCCAACCACAGAGGTAGCTGAGTTCTGCACAAGTATGCGAAGGGAACAGACATATTCTGTATGGTTGACAGCCCTTAGTACTAATGCCTGACTAGTAATATAAACTATTTACTGCTGTCATGCAATAAACCACCTTGTTAATTACGACTGAAAATTGAAAAGGCACTAGCACAGGAGGCTTAGTGGCAGTGAGCTCTCTCAAAACACTCCTAGTCTAATGTCACTTAGTGGTGGCAAATATCAGAACAGTCCAAGTACAGGCCGTCGCATGTGTGACAGTAAATAATCTCTATTTACATTCCTGATTGTAGATATTACTTATGGAGTCACAGTTGGTAGGCTGGGTGTTGGCATTAACTACGCATCACGCTCACTTGTTCTGAAGATACACTTCTCAAAAGAGAAAATCAATTGATGGCAGAAACATTTCCATTTGCCTTGTCAAAGATTTTTGTTCCCCCCTGCAAGCTCTGAATTTGACTTTGATTGTCTTTGTCTCCACATTTGGGGTGTCCTCTAGTCTGGGTTACCATGCTCAGCTTGCTGTAAAGTACTGTCTTTAGTATTTGTGAACCTTATTTGCAAAACACATGACCAACCAAACCAACCTGAGCTTTGATAAGCATTCTCTCAACCAGATAAATAAATAAAGAACTGCAGATGCTGGAGAACTGAGGCAAAAGCAGAAATTGCTGGTGAAAGTCAGCAGGTGGCATCTGTGGGTAGAAAGCATATGAAGAGTCACTGGACTCAACACTGACTTAGCATTCTTTCAATGCCAGGATTGCAACACAATGCAAGAACCGTAGTGTTAGGAATTCTGCCCGGATACCTGATGTTACAAAGAGAACTCTGACAGCATGGGCAGAATACTTATAATTGCTTTACATGTTGCTCATGGGTTTTGCAAGCCTCACACCCATAAACAACTGATGTCAGAAATACTGCCTGGTAGGTAAATTTTAATTTTTGTTCTGAGACAGACTTTGGCAAAAGCAATCAGCTTTGCCAGGTGATGGCTGATTTTGTTATCTCGTGTAGTGTTATTGAAGGTAATACTCAAGATAGCAAAGCTCCTACATTGAACAGAGGGGTGTGATGTATTAATAGTGACTGCGGGATCTTAAAGTACATGACATAGGGCTGGTTGATACAAGATCTGCGTCCACTGTGGACATTGTTAGGCTGGTGTTCTAAGGCAAGGGCTAAGCAATCAACAAGCAGTTGAACATTCTCCAGTGTACGTGCTGTGAGAACATAGTTATTTGCAGGTGAGTTTCCTCAGTAACTGTTTATTGACCTTTGTCCAAGCCTCGACATCCTTACAAATTGAAGAGTTTGCTGTCTGTCCTGAAATCCATGTAGAGTTGGGGGAGTAACCTTCTTACTTAATACTTGGTCTATTTTGAAAGATTACAGCATAAATTACAGTTTTCCTCCAAGTATCAGTTTATTCAGATACAGAATGAAGGAATGAACTTTGAGAATTGCAAATTTTAACCAAAATCTTCAGAAAAATGTGAACTTCATAATAGGTAAGCACTAATAAGTAGAGCAAGAGCATAGGATTGATAAATCAGCTGCATACTAATCAGGGTTTCACAGTTGCCATGCCTCACTATTAGTTACCATAGACATGTGCGTGATTATTCATACATACAAAAATATTGTGGTGGTGGTGGGGGGAAGAAGAGAGGCTTTGCTCAGTCTTCAGTCACTAGAGAATACAGAGGGCTTGCTTGCCTGAAGCCTACACTACTTTAAAAACAGATTTTCATATTCATATCATGCATTGCCGATCCACAACATGCATACATTAACATTACATGCTGAATGTTACTCTACTGGTTTATTGCTGTTTTACTTATATTAGCATCTGTGATCACGTTAAATTTCAAGTGTTAAAATGGGGTTAAATTGGAAAATAGCCTGGAAACAGTGCCGTAGAGCAATTTGAAAAGAAAGATCATAATTTTAAATTTGAGCTATTGCTGGATTGGGAGCAAATGTAGGACAGGAAACCCAGAGGTTATGGGTAAGCATGGCCTGGTGTGATTTTGGATAATGGTAGCAGAGTGTTGCATGAGCTTATTTTTTTGAGGAAGATGAAAGATACAGGTCAACCAGGAGAACTCCATTTTATCAATGTAATCATCAAATCCAGAAAAAACAAAACTATGGATGTGTATTCAACAGACAGATTGATGCAGGGGTGGAGAAGGGTAACAACAGAGGTGGAAGGAGGCAGTCTTGGTATTAGGAAAGGATACCTGGTAGATGACAAGAGTTTGGAGAAAGAGGAGGGGGAGAGAACAAGTCATATGTTCAATACAAGTTTAGGATGCTATTATGTGAACAAATCTGGCACAGCCTCAAATCATAGCCAGAGAGGGGGAGGGAATACTTGGCTTAGAAACGAAATTAGGGGTGAAGAGAATAGCTTCCAAATTTTTAACTGGAAGAAATTTTATCACCAATATTAGTTGTCAGACAAGCAATGTGACAAATCAAATGCAATGGGACAGTTTGATACAGTCAATGGTGGACCTGGATGTCATTAATTTACATGTGGAATCTTGCTTTGTTTCTGATGACATCATCGAGGAGCTGCATGCAGATGAGAAATGGGAGGCCAATAGGTAGATATTTGGAGAACTCTAGATGAATATTTTTACATTTCTAGCCCCACATGGAAATTCAGCTATTTTGAAGGGCATTTAACAGCGTATGTTATATTTGTTTGTGCTAAGACACAGATCAACTCAAGTTATGTTAACTCGCCATACTCCATGTTCAGCTATGAAAACCTTAACATCTTTTCTACACTCTATTCATATTGTTCACCCTTTACAGTGCTTGCAAAATTTAAACTACAAAAGGGCTAGACTTACTGGTTGATTATTGCCAGTGATTAACAAGTCTTCATCTCTTCTGCCTCCCACAGTACTCTTGTGCATGGGATATACCACTCCCATGTCAGATTCCTGTTTGAACCGTAGCAACCCTTCCTCGTGAAACTCCATACTATCACAGCCATTTGGACCAATGCGAATTACTGCCCAGATAACAAGCGTAATCTGAAATAGTAACAGTCATGTTACATCACGGCCAAATAAACAGTGAAGAATTTCCATTATAATATGTTGCAATAACCAGCAAGTTGATTGATAAATAAGAATCAAAAGCACAACTGACTTGAGTTAATTAACCTACTACAGCAAACTTGGTTTTAACCAGCACCTTATCAATCAGCATTCTTGATAAACTAGCAAAAATCACACACCTCAAATACCGCAATGTCTGAGTATTTATGTTGCAAATAAAGTACAACAGTGTGTATACCCCCTGCATTATGTTTCTGTTATTTACTGTTTTTACAGTTATTTTAGGAGGTGAATCGATGCTTTTACAAAGATTTTGTTTCAGGATGTTGATGTCTTGCAGCTTTGCTTGGTCAGGGTTTACTGTGGTTATGGGTACCCCTTGATTATGCAGAATATTTGATCAACCAGTGCACTCCTGGTCCCATTGGTGCCAGTTAATAAAAGGTTTTCTGTATTTTAATATATTCTTCTTGCTGTAATTTGCCAAAATCATGACATAATTAATAGAATTTTATTTCTGCCAATACCACTACAAATCCATACTACATGGCAGCAGTCATCATCAACTGCCGCTGATTCGAGGACAATGTCTACTCAGGGTCACAGATTTCTGCTATGGTTGTCAAGACCTGCAGATTTTTTTGCGCATGGGGCAGGACGTCTCATGAGATAGTGGGTTCGAGACAGCAAGGATTGCTTCTTTTACTTTCTTTCTCTGCCACCAGTCTGCCTTTAGTCTGTCTCATCATGAAGATGTTATGACTCAGAGCAGCTTGATGGACAAGTTATTGCTTGTTTGAATAATCGGTAGCAAGGTCCTTTCCATTATTAATGTCCAAGCTGCCATGTTTCGAGGAAAGACACAATGACTTTGAAGTGTAAAACAAGATATAAAAGAAGATTACAAGAGTTTTTTTAAAGATATTATAAAAGGTAAGAGAAAGGCAAAAGTGGATATTGGACTGCTGCAAAGCCAGGCTGCAGAAGCAGAAATCATAGAATCACTACAGTGTGGAAACAGGCCATTCGGCCCAACAAGTCCACACCATTCCTCTGAAGAGCATCCCACCCAGACCCATTCCCTCAATTTCCCATGTCTAACCCACCTAACCTAAACATCCCTGGCACTATGGGCAACTTAGCATGGCCAATCCACCTAACCTGCACATCTTTGGAATGTGGGAGGAAACCGGAGCACCCGGAGAAAACCCATGCAGACACAGGGAGAATGTGCAAACTCCACACAGACAGTCGCCCGAGGCTGGAATCGATCCTGGGTCCCTGGCACTGTGTGGCAGCAGTGCTAACCACTGAGCCACCGCGCCGTCCACCACTGAGTAAATGTTTTATACTGTTGCTTTCAACTTAAGCACAGCTCATCCCTACCCAGCTTCAGCATAACAGCCAACCAACACAACCGGCTGACAGCACAAGTGGCAGTGGTGGGATTCGAACCCACGCCTCCTAGGAGAATGGAACTTGAATCCAGCGCCTTAGACCGCTCGGCCACACTGGGAAATGGGGAGCAAAGAAATAGAGAAGGAACTAAATAGGTACTTTGCATCAATTTTTATGGTAGAAGACACCAGCAGTGTACCAAAACTTCAAGAGAGTCAGGAGACAAAGGTGAGTGTAGTGGCGATCACTAGTTCTGGGGAAACTGAAAGGTCTCAAATGAATAAATCATCTGGACCTGATGGACTACACCTCAGAGTTCTGAAGGAGATAGCTGAGGAGATTGTGGGGACATTAATGGTGATCTTTCAGGAATCACTGGGGGCAGAGAGGATCGGAAAATGACAAATGTAACAGCCTTCTTTCAGAAAGGAGTGAGTTGAAGATAGGATGCTATAGGCTGGTTAGCTTGACCTCAGTCATTGGTAAGATTTAAGAAACCTTTATTAAGGATGAGATTGTAGAGTACTTAGAAGTGCATAGTAAAATAGGGCTGTGTCAGCACAGCTTCATCAAGGGGAGGTCATGCCTGACAAACCTGTTAGAATTCTCTGAAGAGCTAACGAACAAATTAGACAAAGGAGAGTCAGTGATCGGGATCTGTTTGGATTTCCAGAAGGCTTTTGACAGGGTGCTGCACAAGATGCAGCTAAATAACGATCTGGACAAAGGAACTGGAGGCATTGCTCATAAGAACCATAGAAATCCCTACAGTGTGAGAGCAGGCCATTTGGCCCATCAAGTCCACACCAACACTGACGAGCAACCTACCCAGACTCACCCCCATTATCCTATCCCTATGACCCCGCATTTCCCATGGCTAATCCACCTAGCCTGCATATCCGTGGACAATATGGGCAATTTAGCCTGGCCAATCCACCTGACCTGCACATCTTTGGACTGTGGGAGGAAACCATACCTAACCAGGGAAGAAACCAGAGCACCCGGAATAAATCCACGCAGACACAGAGAGAATGTGTAAACTCCACACAGTCACCCAAGGGTAGGATTGAACCCAGGTCCTTGATACTGTGAGGCAGCAGTGCTGGCCACTGAGCCACCATGCTGTTTTGTTGCTAAGTTTGCAGATGACACAAAGATAGATGGTAGTGTTGAGGTAGTGGGGAGGCTGCAAAAGGACATGGACAGGCTGGGAGAGTAGGCAAAGAAGTGGCAGACAGAATACAATGTGGCAAAGTGCGACGTTATGCATTTTGGTAGGAAGAAAAGGTGTGCAGATAATTTTCTAAAAGGAGAAAGGCTTTGGAAAAGAAAAAGACTTCAAAGTCTCAGTTCGGGATTCTCAAAATTAATATGCAGGTTCAGTTGACAGATAGGATGGCAAATATAATTTAGCATTTATTTCGAGAGGGTAGAATACAAGAGCAGGGATGCACTGCTGAGACGTGTAAAGCTCTGGGCAGACCACATTCAGAATATTGTGAGCAGTTTTGGGCCCTGTGTCTAAGGAAGGATGTGCTCGTGTTGAAGGGGGTCCAGAGGAGGTTCACAAGAACGATCCAAGAAATGAAGGGCTTATCCTATGAGAAGCTGTTGAAGGCTCTGTGTCTGTATTTGAAGAAGTTTAGAAGATGATGTGAGATTTCATCAAACTTCAATAAGTACATTAACATTTGTTCGATCCAAAGAATGTAGCACAGGCAACATTGATGGAACTGCTCAAGCATTCTTAAGTAGAATGATACATAGTCCAGTCTCACTGAAAACACTGCTCTGTACACTACAACAGTTTTGACTTGTAGAGGAGGTCTTTGTTGTCAAATACTCACCACCATAGTTTGTAGAAGTTGAGCTAGCACAGCTGATTGGATACTGGACCTCTTCAATGGTGGTGTGTCAGGAAACATAGTTGCCAAGGTATGAGAAATGCTCAACATATTCCAGAGCCTCTCTCTATAATGGGATATGGAATATTTGGCTGACCAGTGTGTTGATGAGTTGTTTTGGTAACATTCAAGGACAGGCCACGTTTCTTACTTGCAGTACCAAAGAAATTAGAGTGGTTTGCAAATCTAGTACTGAGTGGGCAATAACACTGCAGTCATCCATAAACTATAAATCATGCCCATCTAGGTGATCAGCTTAGATTTGACAGGCAGGTGACCAAGGTTAAGAGTTTTCCATTTAGTCAAGATTTAATACAGACACCAGAGGGCGATTCAGCAAAATACATGTTAGGATTTTTATTACTATGGACAAAGGGAATATTTAAATCATTCTATGGAAACTATTTATCTCCCTACATGAAAATAGTTACAATTGTGACAATCCTGAAGTTGGACGGTGCAGTAGTAGGAGTTCTTCCCAAAGCCCTAGAAGTGCATGGAGCATTGATGTGAGCAAAGGTCCACTAGGTTAGAAGACCTCGGCTGAAAAACCATGAATGTCAGATTATTCCTTCCTCCTCCTCCACCACCACCCCTCCACCCAAAACCATCTGCTTTATTGTTTGTTGCAGTTTTCTCATTGAAAGTGATTCACCTATGGACTCTACCACAGGATAGTGGGGGATAGTCCAGAGAGTATCAGCTCAGGAGTGTTTCAAAATGTTCTTTCTAGCATCAATGGATCATGTTGTCATCCTTGAAAAGAGAAGCTTTATCCTGTGAGCAAAAGGAGGTTTGTCTGTTTCTTTTGAGGAAGGGTCACCAGACCCAAAACGTTAACTCTGTTATTTCCTTCACAGATGCTGCCAGACCTGCTGAGCTTTTCCAGCAACTTCTGTTTTTATTCCTGATTTACAGCATCCACAGTTCTTTTGGTTTTTATTTGGTCAGCATGTTGTTGGATTTCTTGGGCTTTTCTTCCTATCCCTCATATGCAGCTGCTGGAATGCTGCCTTGATTTGTGACCTTGGGTTGTTCTGCCAGGCAATGAAGGATGCTTGGCTTTATTCTAAGAGTCATTTATTTCACTCACAAAAACAAAGTTGCTGGAAATGTTCAGCAGGTCTAGCGACATCTGTGAAGGAAAAGACAGAGCTAACGTTTCGGGTCTGGTGACCCTTCCTCAGAACTGAAGAGTTCTGAACTGAGTTCTGAGGAAGGGTCACCGGACCTGAAACGTTAACTCTGTGTTTTCCTTCACAGATGCTGCCAGATGTTGAGCTTTTCCAGCAACTTTGTTTTTGTTCCTGATTTACAGCATCTGCAGTCCTTTTGGTTTTCATTTATTTCACTACTGTTTTAATTGAAGTAGACCTGGTAATGATGCTGCTCAAACCCAGTGGTCTTGGCACAGTCAATTAGCGCAACTGACTATTTGATTCCACTTTTCAGCACAAAAATGATCAAAAGGGTATGCTACCCCATCCAGGCGGTGGTGATACAACCTATTTTGAGAAATGTTTATAGGCCCTACTCATTTAGGGTGACCAAAATATCCTGAAGAGAACAGCTCAGTCATAGATACTGCTGCCCTGTCTCACCACAGATGTCCAATGACCATCATACATCAACTACCTGTCTGCAGATTCTTGGCTTGGGAGTCCTAACTGACAACCTTGCCCCCAACACCAAGGCTTGGTATGATTTTATTTATCATGGGGACTTTGGAACACCACCACCATCCACATAAATTTGATAGATTGGTGGTCATCTAAATAATGATTGAGATTACCTCACTGCTGCAGATTTCTTTCACCTTTGCAATCACTGAGATGTATAATCTTTCTCTGTCCATTCTGCCATTGAAGACTTTATATCCTGCACTTTGTCTGGCATTTCCCCCAAACTCTCCACCATGGGTAGTCCTAGTGGGAGAAAGGAGTTGCAAGCGCCTTTGCTCAAAATACACAAACTTCACCAGGACAAGGTTGTGATCCACAGAGAGCATCCCATATGGAAATGTAGCACTAAAATAGAACTATAAGAAGGGGAACAATACACAAGAGCATCCTAATATAGTAAAGCACTATTGACAATTCTTTAATCATTAGCTGACATAGCTTTCAGTAATGACCACCAAAATAAAAGCAGCAAGGGACAAATAAAAAACACAGAAATTAAAGATTAAAACAAATTTGTACTGGCAACATTGCTATTACCCTGATATATGAACTAGTCACAGAAATATATATAAAATCAAGTTAGAATGTAATCAGAATAGGTACTGTGCTTTTGTGTAGTTACGCACGTCTTCCTTCTAACTTGATACATTGGATACAATGATCAATCTGAATGTGATTTTCAGATTCTGCAATTGGATTTTTCATATGATTCTCAGAATCTGCAATCACATATAGCTGAAACTGAGTAAAAATGGCAGATTTGTCCATAGATGTGTAAGTTAGGTGGACTGGCCATACTAAATTATCCATGGTGTTTAGGGATGTGTAGGTTAGGTGAGTTAGCTATGGAAAATGCCGGATTACAGGGATAGGGTAGGGAGACGGATCTGGATGCAATGCTCCTCGGGGGGCTGGTGTGGACTTATTGGGCTGAATGGCTCGTTTCTACACTAGGGATTCTTAAGAACTCATTCCCTAAAGGACATTAATGAATTAGATTTTTACGATGATCTGTTGGTTTCATGAACACCATTGCAAATCTAGCTTTTAATTCCAGATTTATTTACTGAATCTTTCACCAGCTGCTGTGATGAGATTTAAACTCATGTCTCCCGATTATTAGCCCAGAATGATTACTAATCTAGCAAAATAACTGCTGCTATTCATTACATGAAATTCCCATGATTTGTCAACATACTGAGAAAAGATGGTACTCACAATTAAATTAATCACTGCCAAGATAAACATCAGGACAATTACACAAATGGCCAGGTTGCCTTTACGACCTCTCAATCCTGTCCTATGCAGTCTCTCTTCATCAATAGGAACATATCCAGCCTTGAAGTTGCTGTTGTGCTCCTTGTTTATATTTCTACGATCAACTGCTTTCTCATGCATGGAACGTCGAACTGGACCATTTGAACTCTGTCAAAAGAAAAGTTGGAAATTAACACTGCAAATAATGTGCTATTGCTCTGCAGTTGTTCCCTTCTGAAAAATGTCACTCAGGTCTTACTATGAACTAATTTAGATATTTACTAAATACATGGGTTAAAAATGTTTTGCACTTAAGAATATTTATTGAAAGTCTAAGTTATATACAGATACACTAGTCTTTGAAAGTACACATTCCAAAGTTTTACATTCTAAGATTGTGCAGTACTACTACACATAAATAATTATAAACTATTTTTATAATTGAGTCTAAATCCTGGAATTCCGTCCCTAATGCTATCATTGGTCTACTGAGTGGTTCAAGAAGACAGCTCACCACCAACTTTTCAAAGGCAGCTAGGGATGGGCATTAAATGCTGACCTAGCCAGCAACGCCCATGTCTCACAAATGAATAAAAAACTCTATTCTAGTCCTTCATGACTTTAAATACCATCAAGTTAATCTTTAAAGCTCCCTGCTCTAATGAAAACAAGCAATATTCAGTCCCTACTTTTCCTAGCAATTCTTTATTGCATTATTTCTGTTTCTGCTTTTATTGTGGTTAGCACTGTTGCCTCACAGCGCCAGCGACCCTGGTTCAATTCCACCCTTGGACCACTGTCTGTGTGGAGTTTGCATATTCCCCCCGTGTCTGCGTGGGTTTCCTCGCACAGCCCAAAGACGTGCAGGGTAGGTGGATTGCCCATGTTAAATAGCCCATAGTGTCCAGGGATGTTTAGGTTAGGTGGGTTAGACATGGGAAGTGTAGGGGAATAGGTCTGGATGGAATGATCCTCGGAGGGGCGGTTTGGACTTGTTGGGCCGAATGGCCTGTTCCCACATTGTAGGGACCCTATGGTTCTATGAAAGCCCAATTTTTCCAATCTTTATAATGTTTTGAACTCATTCGCTAGGAGATCTCACTTCGTAAACTCTTCATCTTTTCCGTTAATTTTAGGCATAACTAACGGAATACTGCAGCCAGCAGCGCAGCCACAACCTACTGACGTTTAATATAAACAACGTTACTAAAAATCACCAACTCCTCCCCAAAGTATAATTATTTTCAGAATTTTATAAAAACACAATTATTTACTGTAACATATTTTCATCTTGCCACTTTTTTGATCCATTTCTCCCTAATAGTAAACACTAACAGGACCTTCCCATCTCCCCTGCAATGAGCCGCTGCTCCTCACCTCTTCCGCCGCCATCTTGTCTCTGCGCTGTGGCCCCGCCCCCCGCTGGATTCAACTATCAGAGCCGGTTTGGGGGGGTGGGGGGGTGGGGAGGGGGTAATCTGGAATCAACCATCAGCATATGGAGGGGGAGGAATGGGAGGAGGAGGAGTGGTATTGTGGACAGTGAAGGACGTTATCAGAAATTGCAGCAGGATCTTGATCAGCTGGGGAATTGAGCCCAGAAAGGGCAAACAGAGTTTAACATAGATAAGTGTGAGGTGTTGCATTTTGGAAAATCAAATCAAGGTAGGAGTTTCATGGTGAATGATAGGGCCGTAAGGACTGTAGTGGAACAGGCGGACCTTAGAATGCAGGTGCACAGTTCTCTCAAAGTGGAGTCACAGGTAGACAGGGGGCAGTGAAGAAGGCCTTTGGCACACTGGCCTTCATCAATCAGGGCATTGAGTACAGAAGTTGGGAAGTTATGTTGCAGTTGTAACAGAACGTTGGTGAGGCTGCAGTTGGAGTATTGTGTTCAGTTTTGATCAGCATGCTGCGGGAAGGATGTTATTAAACTGGAAAGAGTGCAGAAGAAGTTTACAAGAATGTTGCCAGGATTCAAGGGACTGAGTTATAGGGAGAGGTTGGACAAGCTAGAACGTTTTTCTTTGAAGCGTAGGAGACTGAGGGGCAATCTTATAGAAGTGTATAAGATCACGAAAGGCATGGATACGGTGAATGCACTCAATCTTTTTCCCAGGGTTGGGGAATGAAGGACTATAGGGCATCAGTTTAAGGTAAGAACATAGAACAGAACAGCACAGTACAGGCCCTTCGGTGCACGATGTTGTGCCGACCTATTATCCTACTAAGATCAATCAATCCTGCATACCCTACATTTTACTATCCTCCATGTGCCTATCCAAGAGTCGCTTAAAAGTCTCTAAAGTATCTGACTCCACTACCACTGCTGGCAGCGCATTCCACACGCCCACTACTCTCTGTGTGAAGAACCTACCTCTGACGTCTCCCCTATACCTTCCTCCAATCACCTTAAAATCATGCCACCTCATAATAGCCATTTCCAGCCTGGTATAAAGTCTCTGACTATCTACTCTATCTATGCTTCTCATCATCTTGTACACCTCTGTCAAGTCACCTCTCATCCTGCTTTGCTCCAATGAAAAAAGCCCTAGCTCCCTCAACCTTTCCTCATAAGACCTGCCCTCCAGTCCAGGCAGCATCCTGGTAAATCTCCTCTGCACCATCTCTAAAGCTTCCACATCCTTCCTATAATGAGGTGACCAGAACTGAACATAATATTCCAAGTGTGGCCAAACCAGGGTTTTATAGAGCTGCAGCATAATCTCGTGGCTCTTAAACTCAATTCCCCTGCCAATGAAAGCCAATGAAAGTATTATTGCTGGATTAAGTATCCAAAGGCCCACACCAACACGCTGACTCATCGTTGAAATCCCAACTGGTGGATTTTGAATTTAACGAATAAATCTGGGCCATAGAGTTCTTCTCCATGATGGTGAACATCATTGTTATAAAAACCCATTCACTAATGTCCTTCAAAGAAGGAAATCTGCTGTCCTTATGTGGTCTGGTCTGTATGTCAGAGGCTACGAATACTGTAACAAATACCTCATCTCCTGACTCCCCAAAGCCTGCCCTGTCTGCCATCTACAAGGCACAAGTCAGGAGTGTGATGGAATACTCCCCACTTGCGAGGGGGAAGAATACATGGGAACCTGAGGAGCAACTTTTTTACACAGAGGGTGGTATGCATAAGTGGTGCCAGCAGACGTGGTTGAGGCGTGCACATTAACAACATTTAAAAGGCATTTGGACAAATACATGGCTAGGAAAGGTTTGGAAGGACATGGGCCAAATGCAGGGAAATGGGGTTAGCTTAGGTGGACGTTTTGGTCGGCATGGACCCATTTGGGCCGAAGGGCTGTAGCACTCAATGACTCTAAGAGGATCGCCAATAATCAATAATGGTCATGGCCTAATGGTGTTACTGCTAGACTATTAATCCAGACACCTGTGTTCCTGGGAGTCAACCCAAGGAAAGCAATAGGCCTGGATGGTGTCCCCAGTCAGATCCTGTGCAGACCAACTGGCGGAGGTGTTCACCAACATCTTCAACCTCTCCCTCCTACAAGCCGAAGTCTCCACCTGCTTCAGGAAATCCACCGTCATCCCCATACCCAAGAAAACACATGCAGTGTGCCTTAATCACTACCGTCCAATAGCTCAGACTTCAATAATCATGAAGTGCTTTGAGAGGCCGGTCATGGCCCACATCAACTCCAATCTCCCAACCTGCCTCGATCCCCTACAGTTTGCCTACTGACATAATAGGTCCACAGAGGCTGCCATTTCCCTAACATAGAATCCCTACAGTGTGGAAACAGACCTTAAGCCCAACAGGTCCACACCGACACTCCAAAGAGCATCCCACCCTGACCCATCCCCGTCCCCATCCCTCTACCCTTTCCGTATAACCTTGCATTTCCCATGGCTAACGCACCCAATCTACATAATCCTGAACACTACAGGCAATTTAGCATGGCCAATACACCTAGCCTGCATATCTTTGGATTGTGGGAGGAAACCAGAGCATCCGGAGGAAACCCACGCAGACATGGGGAGAATGTGCAAACTCCACACAGACAGTTGCCCAAGGGTGGAATTGAACCCTGGTCCCTGGCGCTGTGAGGCAGCAGTGCTAACCACTGTGCTGCCCTGTTTTAATTTTTTGTCTTTTTTTTCTGTCGACAACAATTAGCTTAAAAAGCAAGGGCATTGATAAACTGGTGTCACTCAGTTGTGTTGTACTTAAATTGTTTCTAATTGAATAATCTCTTTGTCCTTTGTGATTTGATCTCCCCTTGTGTGTGTGCAAGTATGTCTGATTGCAAAGTGTTCTCGCTCAGCTAACAGTGTGTGGAATAAGCTGTACTTTTGGTTTAATGTTACAACAGTGTTGTTGTAGTCCATACAAGGTTGGCATCCATAAAGAAATGCAGAAAAGCTCCTACTTTTTTAAAAAAGAGAAAAATTAAATTACAGTCTGCTTATGAACAAGTGTTAACAGTATAGAGAGATATTTGTCTTAAAACTCACAATCTGCCTGCAACAGGAGAGAAATGGAGAAAAAGAGTGAGAGGAATGCAGAAAAAAACCGAAGCAGTTTTACCAATTTCAGTGACAGAGACATACATACAACCTGCCACTGTGATGGATAGTGGACTGACTGGAGGAGACATCTCTAACCTCATTTTAAAGATGGGCTTTGGCATGTTGGTAGACACCCTGAGAAGATTGCTTGTTTCTACACTAAGTACAGGATAACTTTTAGTAAAGGTGGTAATGACATTGGCTATTTTGCTGTGGTAAGCCATAGGATTGTATCGAAAGGTGACCATCCAGATAAGATTTGTTACTGCTGGATCTCACATATCACTGCAAGTTCAGGGCTACCTGCAGAAGTCTTTGGTGCAGAGAGGGTTGATAGGAAGTGGGAGCAGAGAGAGAAAGGAATTCTTTAGCCAATGTAACCCACACTGTAGACCCATGTACAGGTGTAAATACATTCCTTGTTTATCCTTTATGTGTTTGTAATGACCTGATGCCAGTGGAATAAAAAAAATCCCTGTTCTCTGATCTTTGGGTCTTCTGTGTGTTCAAATCTCATGTTACACAAGTAAAATATATTTTATTCTATTTTTCTATAATATCAGTTAAAGTGTAATTTTTTAAGGAAATAACAAAAGCATATTGAAAAGACAGCGCAAACACCTGCACTTTTAAGTTTGAAAAAAATGACAAAATTAGGCAGAAAGTGTGGTCGTTATTAATGTTAATATGGTAAAATTTAATCATGTTGGAAAGCCGTGCAATCTTTTGCTAAATTGGGTCAATATCATACATTTATGGATGCTGCAGTACAATAGAAACTGATGACATATCACAAGATTGCCAGCAGCGAAGGAAATAGCGTTGCTACAACTAAAAATCAGCAGTAAGAGCACAGCGCAAGCGTAGCGTCCCTAACATTGAAAGCACATAGCAATCCCTCTAGCCGCTGTATAAATACTGCAGCGAGCGCTCTGATTTAGCTGGCAGTGGTTTGGGGGGTGTCAGTGTGGGAGATTCCCAGAACTACAAGCCGGTTGCACCTCAGTTATGGCTGACACCTTACGAAGGTTGGTCAATACAACGACCTATAAACTGCTGCAGAATAAACTTGAAACCTGGTACAGAGAATATCACGTGAGTTTTATGTTTTCTTTTTCATTTGGGAAGTTCTGGCGGCTTTACCAGGAAGGCAATGGACGCATAAAAGAAACATTAATTGCTGGATCAGGCACCTTGTTTGAAGAACCATGTCTTCTTTGCGATCTAAAATCAAGTGACATCAGTAACAAAATAATTACAACGTTTACATAAATAAACTATTTGAAAACACATGTCTGATCTAATCAACAAAGAGAACGGTGACAACATTTGGTTTACAGTAGTCTCCCAATGATGAATAAGTGGTCAATTTTGGTTTCGATAAATTACATCCTATTGTTATTTTACTATTTCATGTGGTAAATATAACAGCAAATATAAAGTTTATTTTTAGACTCATTCTAATATTTATTCTTAAAGCTGTTCTTGTTGAAATTTTGCAAGTAAACGTGGAAATTTCCCGGGAGTTTGGTAACTAAGGACGCTTGTTGCTATGGCAATGTGGAAAGCAGCCCTGGTATAATTGTTGCACATATTGCACTTGTAGCTACGCCAAACAATGCATTTTTTACTCCTTCAGTCAAAATTATTTTAGTACACCGAGCTCTACGTTAGAGCAGAGCTGGTTAATATTATTGCACACTTGTTTTTACACAATGGTTTATCCTTAACATACATAAATTTTAAAGAGTAGTACTTTTTTTCAGCCAGCGTCTGAAGTAAAACTGTAGTAGCAACTTGAGTTAGCTTCGTTTTGTCATCTTTGATTTCTACACAATATCGAGTTTCAGGAAAACCTAGTAGTTGCAT